TATTTCTTTTTAATTACCTCTCTTTCAATGTTCCAAGCAACTTGAGACCAAAACCTGTGCGCAGGTATCTTGTGATCACCTGTTCGTATAAAAACTAAACACAAATCCTCACCAAAATGCAACAAAAATCCAAGTTAGAAAAAGTAATAAAAACGGAAAGATGAGCCCACCTAAAATTCAAAGGTGACAAATGTCTACCTTCTATCGAAAAAAATGTCTGGTACCTAATTGCCACGCGTTTCCTTCCCCCCTGCTAGCGATCTTATGGGGTATCACAAAAACTGTCTATGTCCGTTTCCCCCTACCGATCCGACCAGGGTACCTACCTTAACCTAATTCCAATTTTGGATATCCGTTTCCTATGACCAACGCGTGTAAATGACTAATGTAACTAAATCAACGATGTCGACCAATTAGTTACTCTAATTTCTCCCCTTTTTACAATTTACGACCGCCAACCTCTAACTTAACCAGCCCCCATTCTAACCATCCCCCTTTTTAGCCCCCCTTCTTAAGCCTAAAATTACCTTAAGCGCCGGGTGCTAAACCTCTCAAGAGAAAACCGTAGACCTGTCTCCAGGCCTGCTCAAGTAAAAACATTCCTCAAAACCGGGGGATATCGCTTATTCAATTTTACACTTATTTCCTATAATGTATTACGAATTTTAACGATACCCGTTCTGCCCAACTTGAGAACTCGAGAACTGCCAATTCCTTCTTGAGTACTTTCCCACTCGACTGGTCACCTCTTCCAGTCCAGTCTCCTATTGGTTCAGCTCAAGTGCTCCTGAACCACTTTCCCACTCGGCTGGTCACCTCTTCCAGTCAAGTCTCCTAGTTGTCCAGCTAAGTCCCAAGCTATCTAAAAACCCTTGACAACGCCCCACACTCGGGCACTTTATTGAGGTTACTGGGTTAAATTGCTAGGTTGATTGAAACGATCGAACTTGTAAAACAGTATGGGTATACTATTTAATTGATATAAAGGTTTGATCCAACTAATCTGGTGTCAAAGTCACTGTCTTTTTTCGTTTTATGGTTTTTGTTCCTTTTTCTATTCTTTTTTGGTTTTTGTTTCGCTTTTTGTCTTTTTGCTCGTGTTTTTGTCCCCCTAGTTGCCCCCCTTTACTCGGTTAGCTAAGCCTCGTTCGGAGAGCGTACCAGGAAGTTTTCTCGAGTTTTCTTAAAAAGCTATCACGGTACAACCGGAAGGTTTGCACGTTCCTGTCGAACCGCACCGCCGGTACTCTAGAATGGGCATTCAGCCCGAAGCTGTCTCAAGTGGGTTCGACTCCGTAGTCTTGATGTCGTAAACACCCAGGAGCGCCATAAAAACACTATGTAACATTCGTCTACTGCAGTCACACATGAGGCTTAAGAAAAATAGGCCCTATAACTATTGGCTCAAGAGTCAGGGACACTATCTCTTGTGTTTTTCTACCTCAAATCAGTCGGAGCCAATTCGGTTCGTTTGTGACATGAGACTACGACTCGTTACAGCTTAAAGGCTACTACTAAAATATCCCCCCACTCTAGAATTAGAAACGTCCCCATACTTAGGTCTCTAGATACCCAAAATACATGAACGCCATTAAAAACCGGGTCGGAACAATCCGTTAAGTTACTTTTTATTAGACAGTGGAACTTTGATCCATTTCAGATGGATCAACCTAAAACTCGCCTTACCTCAACATAACAATTGTAAGACACACTCTAGAAATTTAAATTAGTACTCACATTGTAGCACGCTCAAGAATCAGGAAGTAAATAAGTCGGTGTGCAACTCAAGAATCAATAAAGTAACTAAATTGAGTTTAATGTTAGTCAGTTTTAACGACAAGAACAAGTTTGTACTCTAGAATGTCAGTTCTCGTGAACCATTGGGACACTCTAGCTGTCCACTTTTCCACCGAAGGTTCACTCTAGTCCAGTTTAGAATAATACTCCAATCACAACAATCCAGTTCGTGGGGATGCGCTCGTCTCTCTTCTAGATGGGACAGCTCTACTCTGGATTATTATCGCTACTGAAATTGCGATTAGCAATTTCCCACTGATTTTTTAGCAACTTTCCCGCGATTGTCACTCGATCGTTCTGACTTCTCTTTTCTGATTTTCAGTTATCGCGAGAAAATCGTGCATGACAGGTTCCATTCGAAATTTTGAAAAATTACATTTCACTCCAAAATTAAGTGTTTTTTGCTTCTCTCAAGGTCAAACTTCCAAATATGACCGACTGGCACAGCCTTCAGAGGCACATCCGAAAGCCAGTCACCAAAGTTGGGGAGCGAACAGGAGAGCAGTCTGGCTGTGTCTCGGGCGTAGAGGCGGATGACGTGAGCTCGGACCAAGACTTGGAATCAAGTAGGCTTGAAAGTTTCATTTGTGCTTTGGGGGCCATTTAAAGAATGTCAGCGTTGTCACTGAGAAACTCGAGGGAGGACGAACAATTCAACACGGTGGAGGGCACAGTGGTGTTGTGAAAAATCCGGTCAGAGATATTTGGTGTCAATGTAGCACCCGAGGAAGGCCACTGGGGCGATCGACGAAGAAATTGGAAGCCCGAGGTCACCTTTAGCCACACGCAAAGAACACTGCAGGCGTTGAGACGGCCACAGGGCTGAACCAGTAATGGACTCGGGAATTAAGTGAACGGCCATGTCAAACTAATCTAGACAGGTGCTAATGGAGAAAGGATCGCAAGTCCGCATGCTGAATGTGATTTTGGGAAGAGCTGCGCAGCTTCTCAAAAGATGTAATTCCAACTGAGGATCTTCCAAGAGACGGATGGATTCCATAAGGTTTTCGGGAACAGGGCTTGGATTAAGTCGTCGTTAGTTGAAATGGCAGCGCCCAGGTTCTTCAAACCACTGCTCCGAACGGTAATGGCATTAGGAAGAGCACTAAAAACCAGGTTGGGGATGGGATACCAAGCTTCACACTTCTCAACGCTGACCTCCAAGCCGACTTTAGCCATAGACGAAACCAAATGCGGAAAGACCTGAGCAAGAAGATAAACATCGCCGATAAAAGAACCATCGTCGAGGTACCAGACGTTACAGGCGAGATCAGGAAATTGGTTCTTAAGAGCTACAATGATGGGATGAATAGTAATGGCAAACAAGAGAGGAGCCAGTATGTCACCTTGCTGGACGCCACACGCGGATAGCACAATGAAATTACCGAATTTCAGCCAGGATGGTTGGCTGTAGCAGCTCTGGAGAAGCTCTGGAAACTGGTCGGCAACCTGCCAAAGAATAGAGGACCGGTCGAGGGTGTTAAAGGCGTTTTTCAGATCGACCTGGAGAATAGCCAAAGAAGTAGTGTCACTCACGGTAGCAACGAGCCCGTTGAGCGCGTGGGAAACGGCTTCACAGCCACCAGGAACGCCCACTCCGACCTGAAGAGGAACGAGCAAAGAGGCGGCTTTCTGGCTAGAAAGACGACAAAGGCACTTGGCAACAAGTCTGCGCAAGATCTCACCAACTGCTATGGGTCGTATGCCACCATCTTTTTTCTTCAGCGCAAGAAGAATGGCTCCGCATAAGTAGGGAGCAATGGAGGTAGGAGCCTCACCACGAGCAAGAAGATTGACAACGTCGAGAACGGCAGAGATGGCCTGATCGCCGTAAGCGGGTGAAAGGCAAAGAAAAGCATTAGACAAGTGTGTGGCATAAAATTTGGAGACACCTGTAGCAGAGTCTTTTGGAAAACTCTTAACACAGTTGATCAATATGTCACGGGAAATGCTGCACGGGATAAGATCTGGAGGAGGCTCGGGAGACAGCACGGCAGTGACTGCAGGAGGATGTTTTTCTTGCAGGACCGATAAAGCCGCGTCATCAAAGCACAAACGCTCTGGGCAGTGCGCTGCAATTGCTTTACGGTAACTTCCTTCATGGCCAAGTTGCCTAGCGCGTTTAACATCGAATTCCCCGGATGGGAGGGGCTTAATGACGAGAGGCTTGACGGAAGAAGTGGCTTCAAACCATAACTGGGTAGCTTCGCCGTTAAGCCACCTGTTCAACTTGGACTCAACATTGTTTTCTTCGTATCGCAGATGCTTGAACCCGCCGCGGGGAGGAGAACGCAAAACACACTGGCTGAGGATAAACAACTCAATCCAGTTGTCGGTAACCGAAGGATTGTTCTTCACTTTTGCGTAAGTCGAAGAGACTACTCTGGCCCACAGGTTGCGACAGCTGACAGGAACGTCCTTTCTAGTTAATATCGAAAACTTCTCTATGTCTACCAAGGAAGGAAGGGGCAGCTTGGTGGCAAGATTCCGTGGTCTGTGACCCGAGCCATCGCACTTCGAACCCTGATGCTTGTGGGACTTGACCAATCCCGAAGCACAAAGTCCTACCTGCAACAGACAGACGGGGCACCCCATGCGGGGTTCAATAGCAGAAGGAAAAGCACCGTTAAAATCAACAGAAAGAGAACAACATTAGAAACAACAATAGAAAGATTAGCATTGACAGAAATAGAGTTTGAAAGCAAACCGTAGCTTGGCGGTGAGTCTATATTGAGAGCGCCCATGTTCTGGGTGAGGCTAGTGTGCGGGATGGCTGCTTGAACGTCTATTGTGAGGTCCTCCATGCCTTGGGTAAAGCTGCTATGAGACTGAACTGGAGCTCGCTTCACTAGCAAACCCGTTGGTTGCTGATTTGTTCCGCCAGAACACGCGCCCATCGTGTTGCACGCAAACGTGGCGACGAGAAGACCATTGTTGGTTGCCAGGCTTCCACTCCACCAGGATCTGCGGGTCGTTTGCGTCCAGTACCCGGGTCGCTGTTCGATCCCGTAAATCAGGTGGAATTTTCTTCCACGGGTCGTTTGTGCCAGACATCTAGAGACACCAAAACTGACTCAAAATACCGTGGAGTTGGATGGGAGTGTCGACCAATGGTTATTACAATGTTTGGAGTGTGGAAACTGAATCAATCAGTAGAGTTGTCGATTAGTTTTCACCAACCATGCCTCGCGGGCTCATCCCTTTTTAATAAGTTTATCACAACAATTAGGCTAAAAGCTCAATAAACTGGACCAAAACTGCATTCAAAACAACCGTTCACACTGACCCACTCTCTACATTGTCCCAAAGGTGGATACACTCACCTAAGGCATGAAATTCGCGATACCTTTGCGACACTCCTGGACGAAGTATGCCATGATGTTGAAATAGAGCCGAAACTTCAATCGTTGGAAGGCGAAAGCTTTCACAACAAAACAACCACTACTGAAGATGACGCTCGAGTTGACATCAGGACAAATGAACTCTGGGGAGGCCGATTCAGCCGAACCTTTTTCGATGTAAAAATTTTCAACCCCCATGCTAAATCCTGCCCCAAAACTATATCTGACGCCTACAAACATCATGAGTGTCAAAACATTAAATTACCAACAAAGAATTCTGGATGTGGAACACAGCAGCTTTGTTCCACTAAATTTTGTGTGTACCGGAGGAGCAGCACCAGGCTCTACAAAAACCATCCAGAAACTAGCAGAGAAACTAAGCGAGAAACGGAACTAATCATACTCGGACACAATAAATTTTATAAGAACAATAATAAGTTTTACACTTCTGAGGAGTGCAATCCTCTGCCTTAGGGGGTGCAAAAATCTTCAAAAAATACATCCAACATAGACAATTCTATCTGTGCTATAATCGAGGAGGGTAGATTTTAGTTGACAATTCTCTTGATGCACTAATATCGACTTGATTTATTCATAAAAATTTGCCGATGTATTTATATAGCGTTGGTACGGCCCTATCCAACTTGTGCACGTACCGTCGCATGACGGAAAGGCCCATTTTAATCTGGTTGTAAATACCAAAAAACCAAAAAATCAAGTTCAGAAAAGGGGGCAGGCTGGCTGCTGGCGACAAATTTCTTTTGGCCGGAAACGAACTCCAATTCACCAATAACTTCTTTTATCTAGGAACAGTATTCTCCTCTCAACTACCAAGCAAGCATCACCTAGACCATTTATATCACAACACCCAGGTGTCTCGCATCTCCATTGCTCAAAACATTGATCTGAGAAAAATCAGCTTCTACTCCGCTCACAGACTCATGGAAGCCATTGTATATCCCACGGAAACCTATGACATATCAATTTATTCAATCTCGTCAACAGATATACAAAATCACATCAGAAGATTATACTGCTTGTTTTGGAAGAAATGGTCTAACATATCCAAAATTGCAAGCACATATACATCTACTCGACCACCTATCTGGCAACGACTCAATGAATTTGAAAACAGCTTATGGTGCAAACCGAAGGATGATTGCGGGTTTCTACAGGCAATTCGGTTCGATTTCATTTATCCTAAAATTCGGGCTAAAGTTACACTTGCTCAATATGGTTTTATGACCAAGCGATCGACTGTTACTCAGCTTCTTGAATACCTAGATCAGATTTATAACGACGTCGAGGCAAAAAACGAATGTCTTTCTGTGTACTTCGATTTTCGCAAGGCTTTTGATCAAGTTCCTCATCATATACTTATTTCGAAACTTGGTAATTTAGGCTTTGACATTAGCTTTCTTGAACATTTTGCTTCCTATCTCACAAACCGCACGCAAATTGTCTTAATTAACAACGAAGCATCTCCAAAAGGCCATGTAACAAGTGGTGTTCCGCAAGGAAGTGTACTCGGCCCTTTGCTATTTATACTCTTCATTAATGACATGCCAGCTGTCTTGAAAACCTCTAATTGCTTTCTGTTTACTGATGACAGCAAACTCTATTCAAAATATGACTTTTCCTTAGTTCAAATAGACATTGATCTATTTATCAATTGGACGCTTGAAAACTAAATGACATTTAATTCTGATAAAAGCAAAGTTATTTGTTTTAACTCAACTTCCCCCAAATCTACTCTTTGCCTTAAAGATTACCTAATTCCGTCAGTTTCATCTATCAAAAATCTCGGAGTAACGACATCTAGTGATTTAAAGTGGGATATCCACATTAAAACCAAACTGGTCGCAGTTAACAAAGCTTTCCATTTCTTAAAACGTTCAATCCCTTATGGAGTATCCATGAGAACCAAATTCAAATATTACCAGCTATGTATTATGAGTATTTTATTATACGGTAGTCAGGTCTGGTTTCCATCTTTAACATATCGCCGCAAACTAGAATTATTTAACAGAAAATGTTTGAAATGGGTAACGGGAGTGAACGACTATACAGAACAACTTAGAAAAACAAATTCCTTGCCAATTTCCTTCACTATAGCTTTACATGATACGTGTTTTCTTAATCGAGTCCTGACTGATCAATTTGAATTCGACCTTTACAGATACATAAATTTTACCTTTGCAGCCAAGGACCTTCGCAATAGCTCACGCCCTAAGCTTTCAACAACCCAGAATTGTCGACTCTTCTTTACAGAGCAAGTTTTCTTCTATCGCGTCTGCCGGTAAGCCAACATGATTTCAGCAAACAACAGCCTACATTTTCTCATCGCCTGAAACTTTCAAAGCAGAATTGAAAATCTATCTGAAAAATAGAATTGATATGTTCAACTTAAACAACTCTTGTTCAATGCTACTTTGTTGCCATTGTATAAATTGCCGTTCGTGATGTCTTGTGTACATAATCATACCGTTTCTTTTTTTTGATGCCTTTATATTTTAAAGGGAATAAATTTTTTTAGTAGTAGTAGTAGTAGTAGTAGTAGTACAGTAATGGCGACACAAGTTGCTATAAGGCAAAATACGTAACTCAAGAAATTTCACAGGTTTCACCCTCAACGAAACGTGCAAATGTCGCTTATACCAGGTAAGTATCTTGGAAGAAAATCATATTCTGCTATGTCCAGCACTAGAGAAATACGTAAATCCCATAGAAAAACTCAGAACTGTCTTTTATAACAAAATCTAAACTTGCATATATATTTTTCTGTTCTATACGTTCTCTTTTCAAATTTATGTCACTTATTATTATACCTACTAGCCATTAATTGTCAATTAATTGATTCATCATTCGCAAAAACATTACATTACATATATGAAGTCAAGAATCAGAACAGCCAAATTAACAAAAACGGGAAAGACATCATTAAATCAGACCAGAGTCAAATTGCTATTCGCAAATTGTCCGTAAGAGAGAGAGAGAGAGAGAGAAATTAGGTTTCTGTGTTTTACGCAAGGGTTTGCACCCATCACTTGACGGCTGAGCTGCCTTTCTGCACCGGGTTGCAATGTCCACAGTTGCATATAAAAGCCCAGGAACATAATTATAAAATAAATTATTCCAATGGAACTATGTACAAATTGCATATATAATTATTTACAGGAATAACATAAAAACATTAAATCATCATGGTAGTATCACGCACCTTAAGAACCACTGTAAGAAGGCCGGATATGAACAACATAGACGATAGTGAAATGAACAGAAAGCAAGGTATGTACAAAATGTGAGTTTATGTACAAAATATAAACAGATATTTAAAGGTAAACTGGCCTATTTGAGTAGATAATAAACTTCTGAGAGCGCGTCGCTATCTCCCAATGTCCCTAAGACAGACGCCGCGTTTCCAACCTGAATCGCAATGGAGATGCGTTGTTTCATGTACATAAGTTGACTTCAGAGTTATCTTTGTAGAAGTGATTCTAATATAATTTTGTTAGGTATGGTTATGTCGATATTTCTCTTTTTTTTTTCGTATTATACACAATAATTGACTGGTTCTTTTTCAAAAATTTTCGTCAGCCTTTCTTTTTCAAGTTTTTGTTATCGATGTTAGATCTTTTTGTCTTTTTAATAACAGATTGTCATTGGGTTTCGTATTCGACTTTATCGGTAGTTTGATGTTGTAGCTGCCTTTCAACATTGATGCTAGCATTAGCAGATCATGTATTTCAGAATAAATTGATAATTGAAGCAATCTCATTTCAGTTAGTCTTTGTTCATAGTTCGTATCCCAATTGCCCATTATCCAGATAGTTGCTTTCCTTTGGACAAGTTCTATTTCTTTATTTTCAGTTCTGTTCGCGAACCAAGCTGGTGATGCATAACTTATTACAGGTGTTACAATTTCCTTTTTACGCATTGAGTTCAGTGTTTTTAGCAGCAAGAGAGGAGATGTTTCTTATCAGGAAGTAGAATGCTTTTTCTAGCTTTTTTAAACCTATTTTCAACATTTGATTACCATGATAGTGTAACATTCGACCGGAAATATAGCGAAGGAATTTAAAGCTAGGTTCTGAAACGACTGTTGACGTCTTAACACAGCTTCACATGCTTTTAACCTTCTCTACGAAAGCCAGTTCTATATGTGGTACCTCAACATTGAGTCGACAAAGTCATTACTTTTTTGGGCTATCGGCCAGATTGCGTAAACTAAAATAGGGTTCAGGTAGCCTCTTGAAATCACCCCAATCATCTGTCTCTTTTCTCGCTTTCTGATAAACGGTCATTAATATAGGTATCTTTTTTATTTCAGCGTTTGTCTTGTCATAGGGTCGGAGAATTGAAAGCTTCGGAAATACTCGACATGCCCTTGAATATTAAAGTTGACCGTCGTCAAATCGTGTTCGACTATCTTTCCAAACAACAGATCTTCCTTCATAGCCTCGCGCTACACATTTTGCTCACACCAATTGAATGCACTTCCTTCCACCATTGAGATGAGGTTCTGATTAATCACCGATCGCCCGTACGTCTCCACCTTGGGGGCAGAGAATGCAAGCGTCAAAACGAGACCGTATATCACTATTACAAACTCACTTACTCACCTTATTAAAGCTAAAATATCGATCCCCATCCCCTAAAATATCGAGCACAAATCGGTGAGCAAGAACATGTCTCCCACTTAGCTTCGCAAGTCTTCCTCTCTCTCTCTTTTGTCTTGTTTTCTTCCGTTTTCAAGCGGTTCTGCTGCATGGGCTTTTTTTTTATCAGTGTATGCCTCAGGACTCGCGTTTTGGCCCAGGAAGCTGCGGCTTTCTCCAGATCAATTTTTTTTCACGTTCTCTGGCATCTGCTCCGGATATTGTGTTAG